ATAAATTTATATAATATATTTATATATAAAAGAACAATTTCGCGCGTATTTGCAAAATTAAATTGCGCAATACTAGTACCAGATTTAATTAGTTGTCTTCTGTACGTATTATCTATTATTAAATTATTTTTTCATGTGGAAGAAGATTATTTGATCGAGAGCTTAAAAAAATATATATCGATATGTAGCGAGATCTTTCCTTACATCATTTTATAATTGTAATTTTGTGTAATTCTCAATTATATTAAATTATCATGTCAACTAGACATTAATACGGTTAATTCCATTTAAAAAAAAGAAATATTCATTATGAATCTATTAGAAAATAATCGAATAATTATATAAATTTACTTTTCGTTAGTATCAACTTTATATACAATCAGCGATTAAAAATAATTCCTCGGCAAAATTTCCGTCAACGATATATTTCCTTTGTTGCTTCGAACCATCAGGGTATGATTAAAAATTTTTTATAAATTACGAGAAAATGTGCATTTCATTCGAAATACGTACAATTATAAAAGCTGTCACTCGTAACTTTGTTAAGCAGAGAGTGAGATAATACCAGCAGCTACACATTCACGCGTAGCATCACAATTGCGATACACTGCGTATCGCGATTTGTATATTCAGCGTTTTTATATCTCCGAAAGATATTTTGGAAAAAAATATACATAGAGCGATATAAGACTAGTATGTAAGAACTTATACTTACAGATTACATCTACATCTGTATTTAGATTTATCGTGTAATATACGTGTTTCGTCTATATTTTTGCCAGTTTCTTCTGGTAATTCGTATTTTTTAGAGAGATTCGTGCGATAAAGCGCTATATTTTTTCCGCGCCCAATAACGCTCCATTTATCGGAATTTTATATCCATTTATTTATTAAAAGTTCCGTCCAAAAATTTCTAGAAATAAAAAATAATTTCGCATAAATCTTGAGAATAAAACAATACATCTTAATATCAAATGTTAATGTATTCTGTTGACGAACTTGGTAAATTTTAAATTCTAATAAATTTTTCCATAAACAGTTTAAGTTTAATATCTAAATTTATTCCGCTTAAACAAATTCTGGATAAATGAAGCTCAAAAGCGCGGCACGAGATAAAACGGTAATGCGCACGACGACTATTGTAATTAGATAAATTTAAACTTATATAAGTCACGTGTTTAGAAAATAATACGTCCACGTGAAAATCAGCTGGGCTTCGCTAGTTGTCGATCACGTAACCGAAGGCACGGAATTATGTATAATTGCAAGACACTATCTGTGTCTCGCTTGATAAATAACTTATTTCAGGAAATCGAGGACCAGTAAATTTGGCACAGATAACTTTTAACGATCCATGCGTTGTGTGATCTATATACGTATGTATATTCGGTAGAAAGATATTTTGTATACTATGTAATTGCACATGTGTCGCGGCACAGTGGCCGACACGCGGATGTGTCATCACGTATTATATTCAGAGGCAATATTTTATATACCAGTGATTAAATGAAAGTCAATTTCGATTTTCATGAAACACTCGCGAGATCTAGTCTAGATTACATACATACTTATAGTTGTGTCGCTTTTGTGAATATATTTTCGCAGAAATCTGGAGACACGGTAGTATCTCGGCGCTAAAATATGGCGTGAGATACTGCCGTGCTCCTTTACGCGAACCGGCGAATCGCGTCAGATTATGTTCTACATAAGATATGTACAGCAAAAATTTATATCTCAATAAAGGTAATTGAACGGGATTATCGACGCTGGATTTTAATGACATTTCTACTATGTAATACATTCTATACAGTTTTTATACGTAAATATTGTATATTAACTGAAATAAAATTGTCATTAATTAATCAATTTTTTATTATTAATGTTTAAAATTTTTATGGAAAAACGCAGTAATAATTGATTACCGGAGAATGATTTAACTTCTCTAATTGAATCATACTTTTCATGGATTTATGTATTTCTTAAAAATTCTGCAAAATTTATAAATGATTATTAATAATTTACATGATAATTTACATGATAAATTAATATAAAATATTAATTATTAATGATATATCAATGTAATGGATGGATCTCTTTTAAAATCCAGTGATATTCTCGGTCACAAAATTGAAAACCTCTAAATTAAGATCCTCTATCGCTAGCACAAATTTTGTGATTTCACGAAAGAGTTTTAGTGACCTTGTAAATCAACTAAATACAATCTTTCTTTCCCCGGGAATAATGCGGACATTAATGAATGCAATCGTAGAGCTTATTGTAGTATGTAAGACAGGTCTGCGATCCAATTATACAATACAGACGTATGATTCTTTCTTCTCCTAAAAGATCTAAAAAATTGTCAGATTGATTGGATAAATCGAAGAAGGTTAACGAAGGAATAAAGATATAGAAAAGTATCTATTTGAAAAATTCTGCCTCTCGACAGATACTTTCGTTTTATCTAAACTTTCCCAATAAACTTTCGCAATCTCTTTGTTTTCCTTTATTTGTAATCGATTTCATTTTTTTCACTTATTATTTATTTTCATTCATTAATGAGCGAGAAAGATGGATAGATTCTTTAAATAAAATACTGGCGAAAAAATGCCACTGGCGCTTCTATACAAGTACAAAAAAATAAAATATCAAAAAATCCCTGTTAGCGTATTTGTAAGGATTTTCTTGAAATGAATTTCTACCGTTTTTCTTTTTTTATAAAAAAAAAATACATATCAAATTTGAAATATTTAAAAATTCTTAAGCTCCGTCGTGACTTAATAATTATTTCTTTATCATGTAGAATTGAATTTCTCGATGTGATTTTGCGTGATTAAATAACGTCCATGTGTTTTATGCGTATAATTGTGTAATTATTTGTATTCATAAGTCGCTGTAACATATTCCATAATCTATTTTTATTCCGTATGTCCTTAAAGATAAACAAAAAATATGAGTTTTACAACTTTTATTTTAAAAATGTTATTTATTTTGCTGATACGCAATAATTTTCAGTAACAACGTATGAACATACATATGACATTAATAGACGTATTATTATACGTTCATATGTATATGAATGTGTCATTCCCGGCGAAATACGATTAATATAAATGTATTTATCGAAAACATGTGACTAATATAATTTTGTTCCACACGTAATATACAGTAATTGATTTTTTTAAATTAAACTATTGCTTTACACAAAGAAGCAATAGTAATCCAATCCTTTGACTTAAATATTTTGTTATTTTTTCTAGTTGTGCCAAATTGTAGATCAATCCATTTTTTTTATTAGTTTCAATGTAAATCATTTTCATATTAATGTTTAGTAAATAATAAATTAAATATGAATCTCAAATTTAATACATTTTCTTGAATTAAAGCATTTAAGCTTTATTGTTTTAAAGCAATATTGAATATTAAACATTGAGTAGAAGCAACAGCGATTTATAGAAACGATTAAAAATAATTCAAATTGAATATAATTTGATAATATAAATTTAAATGTATTAATCTAAAGTATTCTTTGTTTGAAATTTACGTTCCATTTATTTTCGGAAACTTTTCATAAGATAAATGAAAGATTGGGGTCGGTAGTGAAGATTTGGATGGGCTTTCGAGTATCCAGGCTTAAAAAATTATGATTATATCATTGCATGTAGTCATCGAATAAATTTTATTGTACTAACGTGGGTGACTCAGAATAATATATATATATATACATATACATATGACGTAAATCACAAGAAGGCGAGGTGAATTACGCGCAAGATGAACAAGGCGATAGTACAGAAAATATATTTTTGCACGGGTGAAGTGCGATTTTATAATGATACTCTCAATCAATCAGTGTAAATCGATTACATGTTCGTTGCCTTAGAAATAAATGCTAACGGGAAACAAAGAGGATGAATATATCCTTCCAGACTGCAACTTCATCAACAAATGAAACCATATTCTTTCTAATGTGGCCCACATAAACTAACAAATAATACATAGATTTAACTCATGATATAATAAATATAGATTGTAGGCAGAAATAATAAAAATTCCGTTATTCGTGAATTGCACGTTACTCATCCTCCAGCATAACACTCCTCTCCATAACACTCTTTATACTGTAAACGAGCGAATGTGAACTAACAAAATATAAATTAAAAAAATATATATATGTATACATATACACGCCTAAAGCCACAAAAGTTTATTCGGTTCATTGAAGCATTCTATACTCGCACGAACTTTACAACACTAAATATTAATTCTTTGCAAAAAAAAAATATAAAAAAGATTAAGATGTTTAAAAACAAATAATTTAATGCTATACTTTGTTACAATTTGTTTTTAAAATATAATAAATAATACTAATTGAATAGAATTCTCTCTTTTTCAAATCTTTCTCCATCGCATTGGAGACATCGCAGAAATTATTCTCTGCTGTGCAACTAAAGTTGTCTCGATAATTCTTACCAATTTAATTAGGATAAGTTACATAATTATGATCGTTCATATCTGATAAAAAAATTGAATATTATGTTGCGTTAAGAAAATAGAATAATTTTAATATGTTAAATATTAAGTGTGGGAAAAAGTTCGTGGCGTTTTTCCCGTTAGATGGCATTAAAAAAACGCCACAAACTTTTTCCTATACCTAATAAATTAATTTTAACCATACACGCATGCTCACACATACATACAATAGTGTAATACAAACAATTCTTTGAAGAAATGGCAGAACAAAAAGATAAGCTTCTCTTCTAATTTTTGTACTTCATTCAACATCTCTCACTTTTTTAAACACGTATAAACTTTTGTAGCTAAGCGTTGTATAGCTAAAAATCTCATCTTATCTTAAGGAAACTGAGTTAGTCGTCTTGAAGGAGGCTTAGTGGATCTTCGATGATTTTTTCGGCCGTTTTCTTCAAATCTTTAGTTATCGATTTCTTCATGGCCAATTTTGAACTCGGTGCGATCATCGTCGTCCTCGCCTTCGATTCCGTCGACGCAGATGGCTGCTTGCCGAAAATATGGCCGTCGTCATCATCGTCCGACGCGAATAGGGATTTGGACGGCGCGACAACTTTCTTAGGAACAATTTTCTTCGTAGCAAAAAGATCGATATCGTCATCATTACCGTCATGCGGTGCGTTGCCGAAGATATCTTTTAAATTCGAGCTCTTGGTTTGAGAATCGATTTGAGAGTCTTGCTTAGACTCCGAGAACGACGCGCTGTCCGATTTCTGCGAATGACCGGATGACTCGATGAACAAGCTAGAATCATCGTCGTCGTCATCGTCGAAAATATTGTTCTTTTTTCGCCCGGCTAAAATAGAATTTGATGGTTGATTATCAAACTTCGCTTTGCTGGACGAATTGCCGAAGAGACTGTCATCGTCGTTTTGCGCGTCGTCATCATCACCGAAGAGACCGATCTTCGTGTCTCGCAATGGCTTTTTCATCGTCTTCTTCAATGGTGCTGTGAAAAATAGATCGCCGCCCATATCGTCTTCCGCAAACAGATCTAAGATTTTCTTCTGTGACTCATTCGGATTTTTTGCTGAGCTGCTAGAGAAGAGACTATCGTCCGGCTCAGAAAATAACAGTCCTTTGCTTTTCTCAGGCGATGGCGTCTTCGTGACAAACGCGAACAACTGACTAGGATCCTTCAGTGGATCGTGGGTGCTGTCGCGTAGAGGATCGCTCGGCTCCTCGCTAGATGCTTTTCTTACGTTACCTTGCCCATCATCGATTTTCTTATGTTTATCATTTTTGGTACTCTTCTGCGTATCTGATTTAGTATCGACATCCGATCGCGCAAATTCGCTAGAATTTTGTTTATTACTTTCGTTGTTCATTGCATTCACGTCAGTATCAATTTCATCGACCTTTCTGATCACGGTATCTATTAAAGGTTTGACAATGACGGGCGTTTTATCCGATTGCCCGCCGTCAATCGGTGAGAGTATTGGTGCCCTGCCAAATAAAGCGTCCTCCTTCTGTGGATCTTCCGGCAAATCTGGTGGTACATCAAACAAATCCTCTTCATCAGTGGATGGAGACAGAAGAGTGTTCTTGTTTACGCTCATCGAGCTCTCCTTGCTAATACTACCCAGCTCAGATCTGTCGTCCGTAGAAGCAGGATCGACCGCCGTGCGATGAATATTGTCATTGGCAATTAAGCGATCAGAGACACTGATTGTCAAAGCGGCAGATGGATCTTTGCTGGACGAACAGGTGCTAGTATGACTCTCCTCCTGAGAATTATCGTTGTCCGCATTGTCAATCGTGTCGAAGTCGATACCGCTATGCCTTAGGGCAGATTTCCGAGCGTGTCGACTTTGAGGACGGCGTTTAGCTTGAATCCTCACTCGGCTCTAACAAAAAAATAGATATAACAAATTAAGAGAAAAAGAAAATTATTACGAATTATTTAAAGTATCTCAAGAATATTGTGATAAAATTTGAAAAAAGTTGTAACTCGATTTCAAAGAAATATGTAAGGAACTTATTTTTTTTGCTAATGTATATTTTCTGTTCTCAGAAATCGAATTATGAAATGTATATTATGTATATTATGTATATAACTTAAATAAATCAATATAGTTAATTTGATAAGTACCTTGGACGCAGTAGTAGATAATGTTTCTACTTGAGCCAGATCATCGAAATTTATGGCCGCTTCCGCGTTGCTAATGGTGGAAATTGTTGAATAAGAGGATTCTTTCCGTGTGCTACCTTCTACAAAACAAATTTATTTAAATTATATTTCTCTTCACTTCAATTTAAAATGATTGAAATTAATTAACAAACATTCTAAATAAAACGTTAGATTTTTTAATATATAATTATAATAGACTTGTATACATACATAAATACATACAAAAAAAAGAACCCCGTTATAATAGATTCGTTTTGTGACAATTTCTTTAAATTGTCACAATATGTATAATAATTTGGAAATGATCACACATTATTAAATGTGTAAATGATTTATAAACTTATCAATATACTTTAACTTATTAATTTACTTTTGTAATATATAAGATACTTTCTTCCTTCTGCGACAAAAATTAGAGACTAAAAAGATTGAGATTTTTTTACAAATAGAAATTTTGTTTAACTACCTGATATACTTGGAGGTGAAACGTGACCACTGACGCCCAGATCTGCGATGTCCCGATCCACGACGTCTTCTTCCTCATCCGTCTTATCTTCGCTTCTTCTCCATAATGGCGGTGTATCCATTGGTGAAAGTATTTTCAAATCACCCATCTTGCCCATTAGATTCTTTATCTTACCGGATACTAAACGTCGAGGTACTTGTTGATTGCCATGTTCCTCAGACGGCGGTGAGATCGTCCGGATGCTCAGAGTTTTTGGTGGAGAATTTTTTTTTACTATGCCATCTTCTTCAATGTTGGAAGATATTTCCTTGATTTCAGCTTCACTTTTTTCTTCATCCACGTCATTCCTCACAACGCTTGACTCTACGATTGCCTTGACATCACGATTTAAATTTGATGACTCTCTTTGGTTTTTATTTTCTTCAGGAAGTTTCTCTGTCTGCTCGGCAATGTCTTTACTGGCTTCTTCTTTAGATTTCACTTGATTGTTATCGCATGGCGCTGTGTTCTTCTTGCCAAAAAGATCGTCATAATCGTCATCCTCAAACAGAAGACTATGGGGTCTCGTTGTTTTCGAAAATAGTTCATCCAAATGATCTGGAGAATCATTTCTATTCTTCTTTTCAGTTTCGAGACTAGAGATGTTCTTAGAGATGTCGATTTTTGGTTTAACTGCTACATCTTTTTCTATTGAAGAGGTCTTGTTGGATAGAAACAGGTCATCCTCATCCTCAAAGAGATCAGTTTTACGTTCGTTCTTTAATTTCGTCGGCTTCGCGTCGAACAAGTCGCCATCATCATCATCGTCGAACAGACTGATCTTCTTTGGTTCCATCCTCGTATTTTGTGAATTGTCTAACGATTTGGATTTTGAATTACTAATATTTTCTTTTATCATGTTTTACGAAGTGTCATATTCGCATTAACTATAAAAGTCTTCTTTATACCAAACAAATGTTGATAATATTCTTCATATTCCCGAATCAAAATGAAACAATCTCTTATCTATTTTTTATATAAAAATACAGTATTTCCTAATCAAATAAAATTCTCATATTTACACATCGCAATAAATAAATGAAATAAGTCGGACTAAAAAAAAAATGTAATTTATACAAAAGATTAAAAAGAAATTATAAGGTATGTTCCACTCACCGTTGTTATTCTTGGGTATTACCGAGTTCGGACCATTTGAAGCTGCATCTCTTGAACCCGATTTCGATGCTGCCCCAAATATATCGACGTCTGGGGCGTCTTTGCCGAATATGTCTACGTCGTCATCAAATAGACCGCCACTTTTCGGGACTGATTTCATCCGGTCACTCGATACTGTGACGTGGAAATCCGTGCTCTTCTGTGATCTAGAACCAGAGCTAGCGACGGAGAAGAACTCATCACCGGAATCAGAGTCGTCAAAGAGTGACGAGATCTTTGATTTGGTTGTTCGCTCCGGTTTACTGGGTAATGGTGGCGGTTCGAACAAGTCGTTTTCGAATACGTCGTCCTGTAATAACGCCGACGAGGTACCTTGCTGCTCCTGTCTCGATTGCTGTTGTTGTTGCTGCTGATTATCACTGTTGGCATTTGCCGAGTTGGCATTGGCAGGATAATACGTTCGTGCCGTAAACAGACTGTCACTGGTAATACGCTCACGATAGATCTCCTCAGACTTGACCCTTGTCGAGGACATCCGCGGGCTAGGAAAATTCCTGAAGAAGAAAAAGTATTGAGTATTCTTACGAGCAGAACGATAAGTAATATGATAAATAATGTTATTTATTTGTTTCAATATTCTTTTCCCATTATATGTCAATAAAAAAATGACGAGTTTCTTCTATAAAATAATATTTAATTTTATTCCATTCACTCATTACAAAATGATAGAATAATAGCTATTTATCTTTAGTGATTTCCCAATCATTATTCTGTTGTATCTTCTTTGTGCCAATGATAAAGCATTCGAAGTAAGCATTCGAAGTAAATTTGTCTTTACTTAAAAGTTTATCATCTAAACTCCAACAATAATCAAATGTTGAATGACAAATAACGCATTGTAATTCCATACTTACTTAATGTTATGCATAATGCGCTTAATATACTAATAAATAATAAAATTGCTTCTGCTGGGCGAGTTTATCGTGAAATAATTGTAGTATTAGCATTAATAGCAATTTTTCTAGTTTATTTATTTAGAAACTGTGATAAAAAAGCAATAGAAGTCGCAAGAAGTAATTGCACAGTGTTAAATATTAAAATTAATTATCTTACACACAATGTAACAATAATTTATTGGTAACCGGAAGCCTCTATAATATTTTTATTGAACTTATTATTGAAAATCAAAAGATAATCCGAATTAACTCACTTCAATCGACGAATTATGTGATTATAAAGAATGTTTGATTAATCCTGTCAATTTGGATATAAAATGATGTATATTATAATGAGTCAAAAATCATTAACAGAATAAAGCAATATGAAACAGTAACTGATGCGGTCAATATGAGAAAGAATAAGAAACACATATATTACAATTTATTGAGGATTTTTATGTAGCCCTTGTTTAAGGGCCGTGTCCATTTTTACATTAAGTCCATTTAATTAGTTTTTTATATGTATCATTTCGGTGAATGTTTGTTATAATGCTTTTCGACATCCAGAATTTTCTCAATCAAATTCATGATCACAATGCATTCTATGGTCTGTAATAGCTGATTGAGTCGTAGTCTTTCTATGTATATGACTACGATGTTTTGAAAGTCTGGTTTTCAATCCGTTTGGTCCACGTATGATGCATCACTAAAATCACTACAATTGATTCTGTAGACTATATTTCTTTTTTAAAATTCAGTATGGATCTTTATGTACTTAATGTGTACTTAATGTAACTTTAATAAAATTACTAAGTTTATTTATACTATAAAAAGATATACCGTGTGTCAAACCATTGAAAATGTTCTTAAATTTTTGTGAAACACATAAATGTATGGCACAGTAAATCATTTTTTATTTTTGTCCTTTTGTGCATTTATGTTGGATAGAAAGAAGAACCTGGAGTTCCAAATGTTTGTCTACAAAATTGATCATCAAAAGTAAAATATGTCGAATTTAATACCATGTATTCTGCTTGTAAAACTTCATCTTTAGATAATACAATTCGTTGAAATCAAATTCCATCTATTCGTCAATGCATTCATTGCCAATTCCAAAGGAATATTCGTAAAAAGCGATATATTACACCCAATGAAATCAACTCATATTCAGAATCAATTTTAACGTTTTTTAATTTTTTAACAAGCTCAAAATTATTCTGAATGTGACTGGGAGCTTTTGGAATACTTTTGATAATCACATAGTGATTAGCAGAAATTTCGCTAAGTTGTAAAGATGACAGCCCTCTTTATTTATATTAGCATTGCATTTAATCAGAATGTCGTAATTATTCTGATTAAATGCAAATCTTTTTCATAATACAATTTTATTCCAGATGCCTTCAATACACTTGTGACCCAAAGCATGAACATAGTATTAGCTGGATACCTGAGGAGAGATAAAAAATATAAATGATTGCTAGTCATATCCAATTTGTAATATTGTAGTATTCATGAACTGGGGATGGGAGATACTTTATGTAAGGCCGGAATTAGCATTGAAGAATGAAATTGAAGATTGATGAAAGATTGATATTTGACCAATCAGAACAAAAGGAATCAAAATTTCTTTGTTCTCTCATTGATGAAATTTCAATCTTTAATCTTTAATCTCAATCTTTAATGCATAGTCTGATTCGGGCCTTACATAAAGTATCTCCCACCTCCAGTTTCTCTATAGTGAAGTTCGTGTAACAGGATATTCATACCTGAATTCATCGAAATGTTTTGTGTTTATTCACTTATATATTGTTATTATTTTATAATCACATTTTTTTAGAATTTGGTTGCGCGATATCAGACATTCGTCTGATATCGCGCAACCAAAATTATCCAGCCACATTTTTTATTCCTTACTATTCCTAGTTTCCGCTCTGCACAAAAGAACAAAAACTATTTCCCTCTTAAACGATCTTCAGTTTCAAAAATAAAGTTGTGCTTAAAAGATACTAATGAGCGTGATGTTGATGTGATTCTCCGTTTTTTTTTATCTTCCTTCTATCATTACGTGTGATATTACACATTTTGCTTACTTGTGCAGAACAGAAGACAAGATGTTCTCCCAAATACATCATAAAGGAGAGAAAAATGATATATAAACAGGTATTCTTTTTTATTTATAATCGCCTTTTTTTCTGGTAATTCTCTAAACAAAAAAGTGAGATGAAGAGTTCCTTTTACATCTTATTGCTGCTGTGCTTGGGATTAGTTCATGGTGGAAGAGATAACTTCCACTATGGGTTAGATTATTCTGACAATGGTATGTATTGCATAATTTAAGATTAATATTTAAAGGATTATCATTAAATCTGAAAGCTGCAAACCAAATCTGTGAAGAACAAATTATCGAATTTACGAACAATAGAAATACTTTTTCGTACAGACTCTTACAGAACAAAGACTGAACATATTATGTGCATTCTTGTGTGATATATTTCTATGACAGATTCTTTGACAAATTAGCAAATTATATAACTTTGATCATTCCAATATTAATACAGCCGTACTATAATTAATAATAATATCACAAAAATTAATGAGAGCTTGCAAAATGCATTTTCGAATACTTTTGGATTTTATGCACAAAAATACGCGTTTTAGACTACTGCATATATGAATATTTGTCTATGAAGCCAAATACAGTCATGACGACTGATACGTGCATGAAGTTAACTTGTGATCATACTACAACAATGATCATCGACACGTAAGTCAAAACAATTTTATAATTATATATCACATACAATTTATAAAATATATTTAGAAGTATTTCATATATAAGTTCTTACATAAATTTTATAAAATATTTTCATTTATGTAAGCGAAATTGCAATTGAATATTAAGTTTTACGTAACTCAGAAAAATTCTACTCAAAAAAAAAAATTAATAAATTTTCGTTTTCTATATAGAGTTAAATTCTCTATTTATAATCTCGGGAAAATTTGCTTTTATACAACGATGTTTTAATGATTGATTAACCTGACTCTCGCTTTAATGGAAATATATGCGAAAAAAATGTATTTATTTAGTTAGATTACTTATTTAAATTATTAATTTAAAAAAATGTGCTTAAGAAACAATTTTTTTGTACGATATTGAAGCTAAATTTGATAAATCTATATATATATTTGTAAACGAACACAAGAAAAGAATTATTATATATATATGTATAGAAATTTAGAAAAATTAGTTTTAATTTTTACTCTGTCTTTTAGAGAAGTACATAAAAACAAGAAACTTAATAGAAAAAAATCTAATTGCGTTTTTCACTAGCAGAATTGGTGCGCACTCAGTGTACATTAAAGCTTGTATATTAATCTAATCTGAATGTAAAAGTGAGATATTTAAATTGATAAAATATATATTATATTCAATGTATATTTTATCAAATAGCACAATAAAATGTATTAAGGATTTTGCGATTTAATTCGTTTCTATATTTTTATTAAACGTACGTCTTTACATCGATTTGTGGCTACAATGGCTTTAAGTGACTGAGTACGAACTAGCTCTGCCAGTGAAAAACATTATAGAAAATCTCATATTAATTTACATTTATTAATTTCTGCTTTCTTTTTCTTATGACTATATTCTAAACAATTAACATTCAAATTTCGCAATGGGACCTGCATAATTACGACATTCTGTCGTCATTTTAATGTAAAAAGAGATTTTTTTTATCAAACCTCTTATTTATAATCTAATCTTATCAAATTCTACTTTGTTTCATTCCAGATGCCCTACACTTACTTGTAACAAAGATGAAAAAATTGTGCAACTATTGTCACTGGATGACGTCCCTTATCCACAATGCTGCCCAAAAATAATTTGTCGTCGTCGACAAAATGAAATGAATTAATCCCCATTTTAGCGTAATTCTTATATACAGATCTCGAAAGAGATCACAGGATTCGCGTAATTCTTTGTCTGGAAATATTGTTATAAATAAATATCATTCTTTTCAATTAAGTGACTTGCTACTTCATTTGCTTATTGTTATTACTTTAAAATCAGATAATGAATAACGTCGCCTCTTGCGCGAAAACGATTTATTCAGATACGTATTCTCCATTTTTTTCTATTCTTAATTCACAATTCTGTCCCATGAAAGCACAAAAATCTCTTGAGCGGTTTTCATATTCCCGTACATTTCTCCAAAGATGAATGAAGATGTATAGTGCTTCCAATCCGGCACGCAAATAAACGCCATATTCGCATGTATTTCTTCAAATAGACTTCCATTGCTTTGTGATTCTTGTTGGATATCATTCATTTCTCAGAATCAATGCTACATAAGCTTTCAAAGACAACGAATAAATGGTGTTTAGATACGAATTAATCGACACATGACATGTGCCTGCATTTTCTACTTGCCTTGCAATCGTTAAAGATCAAAAAGTTGCTCGCGCAAATAGTTCTCAATAAAATTCATCTGCAAAAAAACTTGTAAGCATTTATCAACTACTTTTTTTTCTTTTAAATCACTTTATATCTTCACTCAATTCTTTATTAGCCGTCATTTCTTGATGATTAAATCAAGAATCAAATGATGATAGAG